TGAGATTTTTCCCGTGTCACCTCCTTCCAAATAATTTCATCTGCTATTTAATCATTTGAGGGATTCTTGATAAATAAGCTGATTACTTGTTTATCTAAAAATGCAAATTGTTTCGTATAACTTCTCTTAAGAAAACATTGTTAACTGATTTTATTTTCTTTGGCATAATTATCATTCTTTGGCATCTGGTATTGCCAGAGATTTTTTCCCAAAGTTACTCATAATAAGTTTAATATTATATGTTCATGGCTCGTGTTTTCCAAATATGTAAAATACAATAAAATATTATTGCAATACAAGTCTTTCGTTGTCACTGATGTTTGTATTCTTCCTATGGTAAGTGATGTCAGTAGAGAAAAAAGCTTTCTATATATCTGTGTCAGAGCTGATTTGAATTTCAATGCAATGGATGGTAGAGAATAGGATTAGTCTGCAATTTTCCATCATACATCAAATACTTGACTCTCTCATTCTGATCTCATGATGAAACGATTCAGCAAAAAATTAATTGACATTTGAAATTCTGATATGAAAGTTAAAAAAAATCACAGTATAATTAAGTGAGGAAAGAGTTTGGCTTTCATGGCATATAAGCCATCTGTTTTATTCCATCCCTGATGCCACAGGAGATGACGGACGACCTGGATCACTACACCAACACCTACCAAGTCTTCTACAAGGATGTCAGGAAGTGCCAGGAAGTCCTGGCCTCCCCGGAAGTCATCAACTGGAATCAACACCTGCAGATCCAAAGTCAGTCACTGAGGACGCGCCCTGCTCCCCGACTGGCACCGTCTCCTGTGACCGGGGCCCCCTGGGCAGCCTGTACACACTCAGCCAGCTGGGAGGTGTTTGACTCGGGTGTAATCACACCCAAGAAGCAGAGAGAACGTGCTTAACTCGCACAGAACAGGCTCCACCAGGGAACCTCACGCATGGCCAATCACCCAAAGATGAGTTCGCACTCACGCATGGCCAATCAGAATTGGCTGACTAGACTCAGGGCAGCTCTTTGGGGTCTCCTGCAGGTGGGCTCAGGCAGCCACAGACAGGGATGGTTCCCACCTGCCCCACAAGATGAGGGGGCGGTATTGGAGGATTTTGGGGGCTTTGGGGGTGGGTAGGTCCTGCAGCGTCAGCCCCCTGCTGAGGTGGTAGGGAGACCCAAGCATCTCTCCTCAGGGCTGACTCCGCCTCTTCACTGGGCGGGTCTGCAGACAGTGAGAGCTCCAGTCTGCTCGGGTTGTTTCTGTCTGTGTGTGGTGCTCACCCATGAAGGAGACAGCTCGTGGCCAAGGCCAGACAGTCAGGACCTGCCCCAGGATGGGGATCCACCAGGCCCCCATGGCACAGCTCAACAGAGGGACATGTTAAGCTCCTGGCAGTGAGGCCCTGTCTGTGTGTGAAACCACAGGACTGTGTGCAGAGCTGGCGCCCCAGGGCATGGTGTGTGAGGGAATTTCTGGGTATGTTGTCACTTCCCAGAACAGAGATGGTGCACCAGCCCCACAGTGTGGCCTAGACACTCAGCAGCAGCGCTAAGCCCATCACAAAGGTTCTGTCCCCAAGTGGAAGCCCTTCCCGATACCACCAGAAAGACTCCTTCAGGGATCCACACAGCTCCTTCTCTTCGCCCCACCCCCTAGGTACACAGTGCAGCCTGAATGATGTGATCCAAAGTCTTGCAGCCACTAAATCCCTGCAAGTCCAGCACTCCCAGAACATCCTCTATATGTGGGTAGAGACAGTAAAGAGGCTGGCTCCTGCCCTGCTGGAGGGGAAGAGCTTGGCCCCCACGGGCGGCAAACCCAAAGCCATGTGAGTTTTCACAGCAGCCGTGCAGGGCTCCCTCTCCCAGCCTGCGCTGGCCTCAGCTTCTCTCCCTGCCCCTCTGTGGCCTCCCCACAGCCAGTGTGTCAGAGGGGCCAGAAAAGACTTTGGCCAGTGAAATGTAACTGTGTGGGATTCATCAGACCACAGAGCCCCGCTCCCTGACCCGGTCACTGCCCGTCCCATGGAAACTCTCAGGCCCTGTCCACCCGCCCTGTCTCCTCGTCCTCCCCCCTCCCAGCACATGGCCCCCCAACTCCCTCGGGGCTCAGCTCCCCACTCTGGGACCTGCATGCGCTCTCTGCTTCTCTTCCCTCAGGACGGCCAGGTGAGGACACGGCGACCTCCTCACTCACGGACTGTGCTTTTGTCTCGACCCTCCCCAGCAACGAAGCCCTCTTCAGGCCCTCCACCCTGGACCTGCCCCACGCGGCCCTGGTGAATGAGTTCTGGGATTTTGGCGGCAATAACCGGAGCCGGAGATTCATCAGGCGCTGTATCAGGACCTTCCCCTCCTTCTGCCTACTGGGGCCCGAGGGGACCCCGGTGTCCTGGGCCCTCATGGACCAGACAGGAGAGCTGCGCATGGCCGGCACCCTGCCCGAGTACCGAGGCCTGGGCCTCATGGCCCAAGTCACTTACACCCAGTCACAGACCCTGAACAAAGTGGGCTTCCCCATCTATTCTCATGTAAACAGGAAGAACAAAATAATGCAGAGAGTGAAGCTCTCTTTGCATCATGTCCCCATGCCCTGTGACTGGAACCAATGGCACTGTGTCCCTCTGTGACTGCCTGACCAGCTGTGCCGGGTGGTTGGGTCTGTGTGCAGGGTGACAGGTGGCCAGAGACACGTAATAAACTAACGTCTTAGTTAAGCCGTGGGCACTGCTATGTCCTGGGGAGCCAGGGACATGGATTCTCAGGTCACCAGGGTTCCTGAGACTTTCAGTGAGGCAGCCCCCCGGCTGCTCCTCTGGAGCCCCAACTCCCAGCTCTCATGACATGTATGGGGTCTCGGAACTGAACTGTAAACCCTGGAATTCTGACTCACACACAGTGTTGTAAACCCATGTTAATCCAATTATAAAAATAATACAATAAAGGAAAAAACAGGCCTTAGAACAGAGTCAAGCACATCCCAAGACAGAACAGGTTGTACTCTGAACAGACTTCATTCTTCAAGAGGCATTTATGTAAACAATAAGCCAATTCAATGCAAACAATTCCAATCCACTTGAATGAGGTTTCCATCCGCACGGTTTTCACACTCCGTGGGCTGTCTTAACAAGTTCACTCCGCTTCCCTGGCTTTACACTAGACCTCTAAGAGGCCCTCTGCCAGAAGCCACTGTGTCCTCTCCACCTGCCCCACAGGTAAGATGCATGACACAGCCGGACACTCTCCACCCTCAGCAATGCCTCGACCTGCACTGGCTTGGATGGAACAGACCAGGGGAAAGACAAACGCCAGTGGCTGCCAGGCACCGCGCACTGCCTGCTGTGAGGCTGCCTGGGTCCCCTGACGGTTTTTGATGACACAATGTTTTATTTTACTTCAACTTGTGTTCTTTGTTAACACTGGTTTACAGCTGTAGGGTTTAGGGGTCCAGGCTCACGCCCCCTCAGATGTGTGTCACCACACCGCAGCCAGCGCCAAAGCGCGCACAGGGCACGGGACCCCCCTCCCGCCCTCCCCCCACGCCCCCCAACCCCGACCTCGCAGCTTCCGTTCCACAGTCCGATTTCCGGGTTTTGCCGTGTCTCTTCCTGTCTTTTGACCCTTTACGGTCACACGTGGTCACACGTGAGAGCGTCACCTCACGGTGCCTCCATGGCCTGTGTGCTGTGTGTCACCCACCCCTCACGGTGCCTCCGTGGCCTGTGTGCTGTGTGTCAC